GACCCAAACCGCCCCCGCACCCCCCCCCCCCCCTTCCGCTTCTCCTCAAACGGTGAATTGCGGTGGCATCGCCATACAGATGCACATTCGTCCCCGATGGCCACAATGTTCCCCCCTTAAAAAGCGCCAGGGTTTCTTTTTTTTCCTCGTTCGATATGTGAATGCACTTTCTTCCGGAAACCTCAGAACAATCGGCTTTGGCAGTGCCTATTCCCTTTCTTCAACCCTTTCCCGTTACGTAATTCAACCTCTTTGTATTCCTGAGATCACCCCAAGGAACGAAATCGGGCGTGCTTCTCGATCTCTTAACTCCCCAGAGGATTGCAGAGAATGTATTCCAACCAAAAATAAAGATTTTGACACGTAAATTACGAAAAGTTCCCACTTTTGTTCTTTGTGCATCAGTTCGCTACGAAAAATGAAAATTGCTGTCGTTTCTTTGCTCGTTCCGCCTGCCAGGGTTGCCGGATATCGTGCCGGAGTTACATCGGATTCATGACTTCCTCGGCCTTCGTATCGGGGTCTGGATCTTCTTTTTTTTAATGCATGAGACAATTTCGTGTCGAGTTCATGGAATGAGGTCGAGATCGGAACAGTGGTTGACGGTGGCCGATCGATGATGATATGGGGATCTCGTGCACTGGCATCCCTGTATCAACAAAATGGCGTCTGTAATCGAATGCATCTTTGACCGAGTCGCGATGGTTCGAGCTCTAGAAGGGCCTAACGCTACGCGCCCGCTCTCAAATGGTTCGTGAAACTCGAACAGGGCCGTAATCGCTCTAACGTTACGCGTCCTCGCCGAGTCGTCTCGAAGACCCGGCGATTGACCCTCGTGGCCCTCATTGGCCCCGTAATTCGAAGGTTGAGATTCTTTCAAACGAAAGAAGGCTGGCCGAGGGGCGCGTCCGTGGGTCAGGCCTAGGCCTAACGGTGTGGATTTCAAGAACGGGGAAAATCCTTTCTAAGTAATGGCTTCCACGCTACTTCAGGTATTAATCTCGATTGAAATATTTCTCAATCGCAACTCTCGACGCGATACCACACTCCCTCGTACGTCTTCCTGCCTTAAAATATAGAAAGTAATCTTCCCAAACGAAGTTTCCTTTCCCCGTCCGAAAGCCCCACAGCTGGAGCCAGCTTCTCAATCCGTTTTTAATACCCGCCATACATCACCCACGAGAGGACGGCGCCGTGGACACCGCCCTCTCCCCTCTTCTTTCATTTTAATCCATCTAATTATACGCTCGAACGAGGTTCACCTTGAACAAGGTGAGGAACCACCGAAAACAAAGCGATCCCAGCCCCCCAGATGATTCACTTCCCACGTGGGAGAAGGCCATCCGCCTTGCAACCGTGCCAAACGCGAATTCCTCGTCGAAACGACCGCAAAATAGACGGCACGAAACGAAACGGCCGCCAATTGATACATGCCTGGAATGGGCCGAGGGGTCTAATGGGAATCGGGTGTTGACAAGGGATGGACCCCGGCCCTAATTGCCCCCAGGCCCGTGTTTTTCCACCCAAAAGATAAGGAATTCGATTGTGGGAGGGAGTTTTCCATCGCCCATCCCGTTAGGCGATGCCCTTCGTCACGTGAGACGCCTTGGATCTCGGCCAACGCTAGTGCCAAGTTCGTAAAATCCTCGGGTCCTCTCACGCTCCACGACGACGAGAAACGAGAGGAGAAATAACGATTGCGGCGACGGGGAAACGCCCTCCGGGCATGA